TTCCCTAGACAGAAGAGAAGGCAAAAATGTATGAGATGTTAAAATGGAAGCTCGAAATGGAGAAGTGCATATCCCATCAAGTTGCCACGGATGGTTTTGGGTAATCAGCAACCATAAGCATATGCAATCTCATAATTTGGTTGGCTACGCTAAATATTGTTTGACATGCTGACATGTCATCTTTGACATGTTAGATTAAAAATGTCGAATGTTGTAACATGTAGATATGTAACAGAGATGAACTTTCTATAGTACTTATTTAAGATATTCCCACAAACTTATACAGTTAAAATACATCAAAATCCAATTCAATTTACAAATTTATGGCGAGTAGATGGCGCTCCATTCGTTCTTATCATGGTTTCAAAGCAAGACTGATATTAAAACACATCTTTTGAATATTACTCAATTTTCTCAATCCATCAGAAGGTATGGAGAAGATTACAGACAGAAAATATATCTTTCCATTGTGGTAAACAGAGCTACCCAACCTACTACAGTGACCAATTATACACAGGATTTTGATGCCTGATGGTTTTCCCTGTTAGGGTTACTATTTTTTATTAAATACACACTTTATCATTTCTATGTTATTAGTGCATTTCCTTACAGGAATGGATTCTAATCTTGGATGACATCTCTTCAGGTCCATGTTCATTACTTTTTTAACTTTCTTATTTGTGGGGGATCTTACTAACACTTGAATGATACATGAAACATTCTAGAGGATTGTTATTGAATTCTTAAATGATGCAAGAGAACTTCCATGGTAGGCTTAAGTAACAGTTTTATCATTATATATCAAAGCACTTGTTCAGGATGCGTTTATTTAGGTTTGATTTGACTAAAAGAGCATATACCTGTGCTCCAATGCTATCCCCAAATCAAATTGTACACACAAATATGTACATCCTGAATGGACTGAAAACAGATTATATATGCAATAAATTAGGTAAAAGAAAGTGCAATCAATTTTTGTATGCATGTTTGCCAATGATAAAATATGTGAGAGAAAATAGCAGAGTCTGAAAAAAAAGAAGGCAGCAACTTTTTGTAACTCTCCTGCAACCTGAATTACGCATGTTAAGGAAAAAGTAACTAACTTTACAATCAAACACTATCTCAGGTGCATCAACAGCATCTCCAGGAGAAGGCATATACAGTCAAGACACATGTAAGATGTCCACTAAGAAAACATTGGCGAAAAATCATCAAAATAAAAGGGCAAAGATACCAAGAAACATCTACAAACCCAAGAGTGTCATATTAGATTCACCTATCCCTGCCCACTTTTTAAAAATAAAAATAAAAAAAAAGGTACCCCTGAAAGGAAAAGTAATCCAGCATTACTTCAGCTTAATTAAAGAAGCTTAGATCTCCTAATTTTCAGATACATATAAATTCTTAAGTGTCAAGATATCCCACTTCTTTTCGTTGCTCTTAGAAAGAGCACTGGGATGCTAAAATCTTCCAAGCAGAAAAATGCTTAGGGCATCAGGCAGAATAAGCCAATGAAAATATAGTGAGTTTGTTTGGACAAAGAAAGTTTGCAAGATTTATTTCAGATTTTGTTTTGCTTACATCACACACACAATTCCCAATCACCTTTTTATCTCACATACATCACATCACAAAAAATGCTACAGTAACTGGATCAAATAAATCATCCAAATAAATTCTTATCCAAACAAACTCAGTAACTCCTCAACACATTACAGCCACGAGCAAGCACGCATCTTCCCCCAGCACCCCACTGAAGAAAATTATTTAAATTAGAAAAAGATAAGCCCAGAGACTGATAAAACTCAGGATTAAGGGTCCGTTTGATAAATCTAAAGTCTGAAATCTGAATTCTGAAAATTAAGTGCTGAATGTATTAAGTTGCTGAATTGTTCAAGTTATATTTGTTTGATAACTAACTGGATTATGATACTCAATTGAAATATCGCACAAATATTGTATTTCTATTTTTTAAAAAAATTACCTTTATTTGTGCATTTGGAGAAAAAGAAAAATGTGCATGTGTGTGAGAGAGAAAATAATGAAATAATTTAGAAGTGGTATTTAAGTGTGTATATTTGTTGTAAGAGTGTGTGTGTGCATGCATGTGTGTCTTTGTATATGTCCAGCATAAAGAAAACAAACGTGCACTATGTGCAAGAACACTATGAGATTGTGTCGTGTGCGTGAGAGGCATAGTATGTGTGGTCAATTCAGAGGAGTCAGTCAAATTTTTTTTACTTAAAATTTTGTACACAAATTATGCAGTGCTTAATACATTAAGTGGTAAGGAATTTCTATGATCAAACATGCTAAATTCAAAAAATTCTGAATAAATTAATTATCAGCATTAAGTAGAGTTATCAAACAGGCCCTAAAAGTGGATTTACTATTCGAGCTTTCTCCTGAGACAATCACAGCTCACATAGTTTCGCCAACACATCCTAATAAAAAGCTTTCCAATCTGCAGACTGCAGCAACTTTGTAGTAAAGAATTAGTATATCCATGCACATTCACTCTTACAGGAACTTTCCCTTGTATGGAAATTAAATGCTGTCAGAAGCATTTATCAATTAAAAGAGACAATCCTTTTGCTCTCCATCTCACTACTATGGACTTCTAAATACAACCAATAATCAAATGCAGAAAATATCCTGACCCTTTCCATTGCGAATTTTTCAGACAATCTGTTCTGATCGCAATAATGCTTAATATAGGTCATCAAAGACAATAAAGCATACAGTAATGGGTACATACTCGTCTTTGTACTGTTGAACTTCACCCTCTGGAAATTCCCCAGAAGGGAAGAGTTCAATAACTGGGATGGATGGAGGATCTGTTTGCACCCGCAATTCTTTTTTCTTCCTGAAAATGCAAAACATGAAAAAGGAGAAGTGAAAACCTAAATCCTTCCATAAGGAGAAAAAGGACAATGAAAGAAGAGAAAGTGCTCGCTCACTTGTTTTTACTTTTTTTCTTCTTCTTTTTTGCAGCTTCTGTGAATTTCAAAAGGCCCAAGTGTAAGAGCAAATACTACTATTAAATTATTTATCAAAAAGAATGAATAAAGTAATCAGTAATTATATATCACTTTGCTATCCAAATTTCAAAAACCGCATCAAATGTCAATTAAATCCAGATTTTTTTATACATTGGTTACTGGATTAAATGAAACATATCTTTTGAGGGGGAATGGATGCTGATGCTTAATCAGCTGCCTGAAAACTTAATTCATATTTCAGCATGTGTTGAGAGAGTGAACAAATATACAAATACGATGCTACAACTAAAATGATGTTTGAGGAGAGCTAGACCTGAATGGGCGAACATAATATCCATATTATCTAAACTCTTTTCCAAGAAACAGAGAATTTGTAAGCTGAATGAATAAGTTTGTGCATGACCAACCTCTCTTCATATGCATTCGCAAATAATCTAAATCGATGTTCAACGAGCTATAATAAGCAAACAAGAAACTCAGCTGCTCAGGAGTAAAGAATCTATTAACAGGTCGGAAAGTTTTTTCTACTAATTGCGCACACATTAGTAATCTATTACAATCGGAATATCTAAAGATCGATTAACGAGAGTCATGGCACCAAATTAAAAGGGATTATTGGAAAGGTAAAATAACTACGATTAATCCAAGCAGCGATGCAATAAAAACCTTGTGGGCCACCTAAAGTGAGCTCATCAACTTTCTCCTCAGTTTCATCTGCTGCTGCAGTTTCAGATGGCCCCTCTTCTTCTGGGACGGCTCCAGCCCCCAATTCGTCGTCTTTTGCCATTTTCACTAGGACTGCTGCAACTGCACCAAAGCGGGTGGCTGCACCAATTCTCTTGACCAAAAACGATGGAAAATTGGAGAAACCCCAAATTTCTCCGTGGACTCCTATCAAAATTAGTCTTTATTAACTTTGAAGTATTGTACCATAAAGAACTTATATATAGAGTGGGAATGGGTCGTGAAATTTGTTGGTCGTGAAATTTCGTCCTTCTTCGTACTTGTTGGTCGTGGATTCCTTGTACCGGTTTTGTTCCCTTCTATTTTCCAAACCACCTGAAACCGTGTGCCAGAAACCGTGTGCCAGAAACCGTGTGCTTTTATCTCTCTTTTCCCTCGGTCTCTTCTGGTTCTCTTTTCATTTCTTCCTCTTTTTCGTCATTCTCTTCTCTCCTTTTCTTTTCCTTTGCCACCTTCCTCTTTCTTCCTCAGTCAGCAAGACTAATATGGTAATCTTTTTTTCTCCGCAGATTTGCATTGAAATTTCTTTTTTTTTTTTTTTTTTTTTTGCACTTCTAGAAGACCTTCTATTTTCCATTGTACTCTTCATCAGATTCATCTCTGTTTCCCATTCACAAGTTTCTGACTGTTATTCAAACTTTCTTATATATTTTGTTCCGTTTTATTGTTATTGAATATTTCTCTCTTATTTTTTATTTTTTTGGTTAGAAAACCCTTATTTGGTTTCTTTTATTTTTTGCGTCTAATATTTTCCATTTGTTTTGGCTAAAAGTAAAAAGAAATCCTTTTTTTTTTTTTTTATCAAAACGGCAACGAAAAGTTATGTTAATGATATGCCAGTGAACCACAAAATTCATTTGATCAGTGCTAAATTTTTTACCCTTGATTTGTCCCCTTATTTTTTTTCCGATACTTCAGAGCTCGGAGTTTTTTAATCTTTACTTTTACTACCACGCCTCCTATTTATCCCATTTCCCCTCTTTATAATTTAAGTTTTAATCAAATTCCATAGCTGTTTCTACAATAATTATAAAGAGATGTTTCCTTTATTACAAATTGTTGATGTCATCAAATTGGGTGTTGAAAGCTGAAAATTTTTGCTTAGGCTGGATGTGTAAAGCGAAGCAAAAACTATCCCATGTTATAAAGTGAATAAATGCAACAAATCTTAAGGGTTAATCACATTTAATCGCATCAAAGTATATTTCGTTTCTCACTTTACTCGTAACTTTTTTTGTCTCATTTTATCTCCCATTGAACAAAATCAACTCTAATCTTAATGGTACCATTTAAGTCACAATGCTCCTAAATTTTTACAGCCAGCAGAACCTAATAAAAAACAATCCGAAGGTCAAGTCTGCAAGCCAGATTACATTCTCAGCTATTTGCCAAAGTGTCAACAAAAGATAGATAAAAGACAAAAGAATGACCATACATTAGTGATGTAAACTATGACAGGTCAAACATAGACAAGGCCCATTATCATTTATCAGTTTTTTGCCTTTTCTTCCTGCAATATCTCACTAAAAACCAGCAGTAGATACTTCACAGAAATTTAGGTCCAAAGACAGCAGCAGATAGTGGAGCACGCTAGAAGGGCAAGTTATGAGATCAAAGAATCCTGTGACCTTGACGAGCTTCCAACTGCCTGTTATGATATTCTAGCATTCTTTAGAGATCTGCAGACCACAACACCATCAGTTGTTCGCATGGTGTGCATACCAAGTGCAGCAATACAGGAGTCATCTGTCCCCAGATGAGGCTGAACCTGTTCCCAGATCTTTTTCTTCTGAATCTGCAAATTATTGGAAAGAAGCATAACAAGCCGAGCAGAATAGAAAATTAACAATGCATAGATTCAGTGTCTTTCTACTTTGCACTGAAGACAACAAAGAGAGAGCTCGCAGATATGCATTGACACCAAATTCTTGCACAATGACCTTTGGTACCTTTAATTCAGTCATAGAACTAATTCAGTATTAAAAGTCAGAGAGCTTTACCGACTCCAACCTGCAATGCGACCCGACAGCCTCAGTACCAAATCAACAATCACTTTTCTGTCATTCCATTAACAAGCCCACAAGCTGAGAAAAACAGCTCTTCCTCCAATCATCCTCTTTGGATCATTAGTTGCATCAATAGTTTAGTCAAATCAAACAAAAGCACGTTAAGCTAAAACTATGTCACACTCCATTCACTCACAGACGTTTGACTGACATGGGTGCATTCAAGATACCTTAATCAAGAATTCAAGTAAAACTTTTAAATTAACCGAAGAGAAAAACATTTGGAAAAAGGTGTCCCCCTAAATTAACCGAAGAGAAAGGACTTGACAGTGAAACATTAAAAAGTGCCAAAAGTAAATGTTTTTAGGAGTTCAGTGGAAAAATTGGAACTAAAAATAGTCCAGTAGCCAAAATTACACCAAAGGAATAGTTTAATGGCCATTTGGGTTGCCCTTTTTCTGCTTTAATTCCCTGAACCACAATATTTGTTATGAAAACATAACTATTGACCTTCAAATCCTCAATACTTCTAGTAATACCCTAACTATTCACAAGTAAAATGCATTCTAGAACTGCCAAAACACTTATTGAGCGAGTCTACTAGCTGCTCATCTTTTAACATATAATCTGCAGATGTAGTGAGAATCTATCTTAATGTGCTTTGTCTATGTATAAAGTCCACCAAATATCCTTAGAAAGAGGCTAGCCTTCTGATCACAGGTTGGTGGGTGCGCGTCAAGGGTATTCACTTTCCCCAGTCCACTGCAAGGTGGCGGCAGCCAAGGTAATTAGATGCAAATATGAAGAGCTGCAAGATTATTGCATGATACACCCACTGGCATATTACTTACAAAACCAGGCTCCTTCAACAGATATTTCAGCAATAGCAAATCACTTGTAGTTTGCACCACAGCCCTATATTGGGATTTAGCACCGTACCTTACAGCCACAGTTTGTTTCTTGCTCTTCCAAGAAACAAGATTCCACCAACAGGTACACAAATAACAGTTGTCCACCCACAGTTGTCCAGATAATTAGATACAATACGTAGAGTTGCTTGCCTTCTGCAGATCCATTGGATTATTATTTTCAAGACCAAGTTCCTTCAACAGCTGTTTCAGCTATAGCAACTTGCACATAGTTTGCACCATAGCCCTATAATCGGATTCAACACCAGACTTTGAAACCACAGATTGTTTCTTGCACTTCCATGAAACAGGATTCCACTAACAACAAAATATTTTAAGATGACTGTTCTGATAGAGTTAGCCATGACCCAAGGCACCTTTAAGACATTTTAAGATTCAGTATGGCTAATCACTGTACCTTGGTGAATTCAGAAACTGGTTCACCAATCTTACAACAAAAGCAATATCTGGTCTGTTTACTGTTAGGATAGCTTAAAGGTTTTGTCTATCTAGTAAAAGTAAATACAATATGCCTTTAGTTGCTTGTGGTAACAAACTTGCAAAACATTCTCATCCAAACATCTCAGTTGTGCCATGATATTTTATTTAATCCTTAATAAGTAAGCAAAAACCACAGTAAACATTGCAATATGTGATGCGTACCAACTAAAAATTCTCATATTAAAGGCCAACGACTAAACAGCCAGTTGATCAGATTGGGTTGACAACTTGACTGGGCAAGGAAGTGACCTAACATTTCGGCAGCTCAATCTGGTGACATGGCAGTGATGTATGTTTCTTTGAGAAGAAATGTGTGTTATCTCTCAATATTTGACTTGATGATGATCTGACCTTATCATTTTATGAAGCCATAAACATAATCAGGTTATGGATGAATAAAATTAGTAACCCATTGAACGTAAAGTTCTGCTTCTTGCCAGGCCGCATTTAATAAATCATTTACTAAAAGGTATTTGGGTATCACCCATATGTTTATACAAACTTGACTTTGTTTTCATTGATAAAATCTAACTGTTTTACCTAGAGAAAAGAATAACAGAACTAAATTATTCAGTATCGCTAATAACTGTTTCAGCACACTCACTTTCTTACCAAGGGCGGTTTTACATTGAGATTCTACTAGCATCCATGCATTAGTAAGACATCTATGACATTGTTCTTCACAATGAAATCAAAAATACAAAAGGTGCATTGAAGAGGTTTATTAAGGAAAGCTAATTATTCTTTGCCTAGTGTCCTCTTCAGTAATTCATCATCTCAATGCAAAGCTGAATTATAATCATTTGAGCATTATTACGATCCGGCATTAGTATAACTTATCACCTTTGCATTTGAAGCCCTATTCATCAAACCAACATAACTAGTACTTTAATACAGACCAGAGTTCTCTTCATCCAGAAATCCTTGAATGAGGATATGACCAAGCAAAAATTCCACAAGTAACGCAAAATTATTGTTCTTGCCCAAATTTCATTTGTCAATGAACTGGCAAGCTATAACCTACCAACAAAGTAGTTTATAATCAGGATCCTGGGGAACTCCCATAAGAAAATGGAAAAGATCAACAAGAATTTTGTTACTAAACATCTAACCAAAAGCCGACCATGTGAATTCTGAATTCCATGCATTAAAGAGCTGAGATATTTATGATGTAACGGTCAAGTGTTTTAGAGCAGAGCATAAATTCAATTGTCCAACAAAGTGATGTACTACCCTTCATATAATTTTTTCGCTTACTTAGGTTCATACTTATAGGCTTTGACACACGAGGCATGTCGCCACTAAATTATCTTTTGCCTAGAGAGGTCTATAACGGGAAAGCTAAGAGTTTAATACCCACTTTTCTGTGCACGTCTAGATGTTGTCTCTGACATGAAAAATTCCCTACCATACCAAATAAAAGTTTGGAACTTGTATTACGCAATGAGAGTTTGAGAATTTGCCTGATTGGGCGATGCGGCATCTGGAAGACTCTCCTTTTCATCCACAGAACCAAACCATATCCTCTGACCAGGAACTGAGCCTTCAGGAGGCACTAGTAGCTCCACGTTCTCATGTGATGCATCAGAAGCTGCCATCAGCATTCCGGATGATTTGACACCACGCATATTCCTTGGCTTCAAATTAGCAAGGACAACCACATTGATGCCCTGCATGTTGATCTCATAGGGTTAGATATTTTCACCTGAAGGTTTGCTCAAAGAAGAGACAGAAGACCAGCTTCTCAATTGAAAATGCCGTCCGATGAGCTTTTCAGCTATTTGGGAAAGTAAAAAGCTTGGTATGTTCAAGCATGCGCGAGGCTATGCTGAACACTACTGTCTTCCTTATGATGATAGCAATAAAGAGTGGGGATGGAAGGCTCTATGGGGAAATGGCTAGCTTAGAAGCAGACATTTTTGTCAACAACTAGTAGTAGTGGCCTAACACTAGTAGTATTAAGCACGAGGATTGTCCAAATTTGTCACTAATAGCTTAATAAGCAGCAGCAGCAGCAGCAGTAGTAGGGGTAATTTTGATGCATGACTTAGTAGCAGTAGAAATAGTAGAACAGTATAATATGGTACCTGAAGATGGTGGAGGGGCAGATATTTGACGAGGCCACTACAAATGATTCTGGGTTCAGGCTCCCCAACATCGACCTCTTCGACGTAGAGGGAATCAGCTTCCTGGTGCCTCCAGGCCTTGAGAATTTTGCCCACTCGAATGTCCAATGAGTTGGCGGCTTCTTTGATCTTGGTCATCTCATCATCGTCATCATCCTCCACCTTGACGGAGGAGTGGGAGGATGGGGCCGTGCAGAAACAGCGTTTCCACCCCGGCAACAACGTTGGACTGGCAGTAGCAGGAGTAAATTTTGTGATGACCGGGGAAGGCGGCAGAAATGGTGGTGTTAGTTTTTCAGTAGCAGCCCAGGAGGAGGAGGAGGAGGCGTAATAATTGGGCTTAGCAGGAGGTGAAGTGGAGAATGGTGTTGTTGGTATAATCGTCTTCTTCCTATCTCTGGGCCTGAGGAGGAGGAGGAGAGGCTGCAGAGGCGGCGGCGTTGAAGATGAAGTAGCAGAAGCAGTGGCAGAGGGAAGTAGAGCTCGTAGTAGTACAGGACGACTACGACGACCGTATCCGTAATTACTGCTACTACTAGAACAGCAGCAGTAGCCGGAGGAGGAGGAGGAGCCTCCCCTCAACAAGCTCATGCTGCCCCCCAGCCCCATCCAATCCAATTAACTCGATCGATGCCTATGATCCGGATCAACCTAAAAACTAACCAACACCGCCGCGCGAGTAGGCTTTGAATGTCAACAAGCAGCCCAACGTCTACCCGTTTATAATAACAATAACTATTCGTTTGGGATTTCTTCGACACAAACAAAGTGGAAGACCCAAAAGTGTTTATCTTGAGGTGTTTTGGAAGTTTCAGATGAAGAAATGTGATGATTTTTTTGGGCATAAATGTTGCATTAGTTCATGGTTCATTATGATGGTTGTTTACAAACACATTCCAGATTTCAAAATAATCCTTGCATCCTTCCAACCATATAGTATAGCCTCCTGATTACTGGAGGACCGCATCTACGCTTCTGTATATTGATGATGATTGTTGTAGTGAGTGGGACACAGTTTTTGGATTCACAAACCACACCCACCAGCTTCATTCAACTTGTGTTGTTCTCCAAGCGGCAAACGACCTGGTAATAATAGTGACCACACACACCCCATCAAACCAAAAATTTAGACCAGTTCTATCTCAAGAAAATGCACCTTTCATAAGCTTCACATTCTGTCTCTCACCAACAAATAATCAATCAGTTACACAAGTTTTCCTAACAAGAACCATTCTCCAAACAAAACAGCGAGGAAGGAAAGAGGAAGCCTGTAGCTGTTAGTCGAATAAGGCGACTTAAAGATACAACAAATAGGGACTAGCCTCCTCCGCACAGTGCCCGGCAGAACGTAAACCCTAATTATTGATTGATTAAGCTCAGATCATCATCACACTTTTGCCGTGCCATTAATAGTCATCGCCTCTTGATACCACCTCTTTACAAGTAGGACGGAGTAATATGGTATGCTCAAACTGAGATACATAGCTGCCTTTGATGTCACATAGAGGAGGGTAAGGCTGAAAAGCATACAACAAGCTTCTGTTAATATATATATAGCTAGAATCTAAAATCAAGAGAAGAGAGAAATTTATCAAACCAAGTTATATACCCCATTACGAACTTAGCTAGTTCACAAGTAACTCCCAGTATTCCATTCTATGACATTAGGTAATATTTCTCGACACATATCTTCAGATCCTTCTAGATTTTGACATTTTGCATCTTCCAGTCATCTTAACATACTCAGCAAGATAAAGGAAGACCCTCTCACCATTTGGACATGATGTATAATGGCATCTATCTAAACACCCCAGAAGGTCTCACATCCACAAAATCACATGCTCCCCCCACATCTTAAAATCTTTCTTCTATTAATGTCAAAATTGAAACCTCCATTTCATCACCATTTCTTCAAAGTTCATTACCTCACTGACAATAAATTAACGTGAAATACCTGAACAATTCCAGAATCACATAGATTCTTTAGTGCCATCAAATATTTTGTCTCCCCAAGGCGATCTAAATAACGTCTACAGAAGGCCAATGTAGAGAAGTTCTTATTAATTGTTGCCAGAAGCTGTTTTGCTCTGGGTAATCGCAGTGGTATATGGCCAACATCAAAATTCTTCATGTAATGGCTGCACTCTAGATCTTCTCTGACATACCCCTTTCCTGTACGAAAACAAATAACAGGAAAATGAATCTGCATATAGATTCAAGTTCCATCAAGCACGGTACCCAGCCAAAAAATGTAGAAACCATCACCTGTTGATCCAAAGGTCTCAATTGCATAAAACTCGCCCTCTTCCATTTTTGTTTGTTCTCCTCCTTTCACAATTGGAACAGATTTTCCAGCATGGATTTGATAACTTCCAATACTGTGCCCATTCAAATTTCGGATACTCTTAACTGAGAAAGAGCAACCCCAAACACATTAAATGTCATTCATTATATGAAATTTTATCATAAGATGAATACAGACTATAAGTACAACACAATACAAAAATGAAAGAACACCAAACAAAATTCTTTCATGGTGGTTGTGGCACAACACAAAGTACGGCTTAAGAACAGAATCCAGCAACCAGCCATGACTTGAAACTCAAAAATTATAATGCTTTTTTGACTAGTTATGAAAGTCCTTGTTTCCGTGAATTTTAACTTTGCAAACTTCCCTGAGATAGTGATAAAGAAAATTATCTTTCACTGTTTGTATACAGTGCTCTAAACCAAGAAAATGCCATGATAACTATCAGCCTGAACATCCAAAGGTGAAGTAACTATTAGTTGATCAAGCACGCTATTCAGCTACAAGTAACAAGTAAATGGCATGATAACTATCAGCCTGAACATCCAAAGGAATCCCTGAAGTCTGCTCAAAACAAGAAAGGACACAAGATGATACACATTAGCCTCATGTTTAGGTTAAACGCTGAGGATGACCAGAAGACAAAATATATTGCAAGCAATAATATATAATCTATGCCTGTAAAGCCATTAAAAAGCATTAAATCAAGCCCAGTTTTATTGGCCAGATTTCTTTTTGGACTCTGCCAAAATTTGGCCCCTATCAGTACTCAAAAGCCATTTACTGCAACAATTTTTCTTATCCCCCCAAAAATTTACCCTTCTTGAAAATGCTTAATCAAAAGGCCTTTCTATTACCAATGCGTTCAATGAAGGGTGTAATTTTGGAGTGTTTTGCTTATCGTCATTGATTGTACAATAAATGCACTCATCTTAAACAACGTTCAGCCAATAAAAATGTGACCTAGAGAGTGAAAGGAAAGATATTAGGTAATGTTTCTATACCAAAAGTACTATCCCAACAAGTAAAATGATATGGTTCTCAGTGTAATAATTATTAAGATTGTAAAACTTTTAAAGAAGAATTGGCCTCCAATTAGTAAAAGTATCACCAAAAAAATAAAAAAAGGTTTCACATTATCAGCCATTATTCTAACCTCAAAGCATCTGACAGATGTAAAGTAAAAGCTACATTCATTTCAATTTCAATTACCTTGGTATACTTTGCCGTTAATTTCAACCTCATATGATTCCATGACCTCCTGGATTGCAGCACCAACATCACAAAGGCGGACATCGATTCCAGCTTCCTGAAAATGAAACAAAGTATACAATACAGTGAAGATATGAGTTCGTTTTAACAGAATGCATTGTGAAAATCATTTGTTATATAACTTGGACGACAAGTTTACATCTCATTAAATTTCACTTATTAATCAGCAGGTTTCAATTTTTCACTTTAAAGAACTTATTTCCAGTTATCCAACACAAATACACCCACCTTGATTCCCGTATTTGTGGCTTCACGTGAGGCTTCAAGGAGAGGGTTGAACATAGGATTAAATGCCACAGTAAATGCACAGTCTACTATATGTCCTGCAAGTACAAACATGCCAGAATTAAACACCAACAGGGGAATGATGCCAAGCAAACAAAAACAAGTAAAACCAATGAGGCAGTACGAAGCATGCCCACAGACCACCAGACGTAAGATTTGAAAATAGTACCATCTATATGAGTTCCAAAATCCAGTTTCGTGACATCATCATACTGAAGCACAGTTTTATCTCCAGAATTTGGGGTCCAGTGGGCTGCAACCCTGTAAGAAGAAACAGGTTACAAGCAGAAAGAACTTAACCAGAGAGGGAAAAGAACTCAGTTTGAAAAAGAGAAAAGAAGAAAGAAATGAATTAGCTGACTAGAACCTGTAAAAGTAAACACGGTAAAAAACTGACATGGTGAATGTTTATAAAGTGTTTTCAGTTTCTTAACATGGTAAAAAACTGACATAGTGAATGTTTATAAAGTGTTTTCAATTTCTTAAGTTACATAATACTGCAGGAACAACACATTCATGCTCACCAATTTAATGAGCATCCTGTGGGAAATGCAATGCCAGCTTGGAGACCATTCTCTGATATCAATTTACGCACGGTATTCTCCAAGGTCTCACACAGATCAATCATTAACATTCCAGGCTTCAAAATCTGCCTGATATATCTCCGAACCTGAACACAGTTACAAGGTTGCCGTAAAGGAAGAAAAGAGCTAGCCATTTTTCTCAGCAACCAAATAGGGAAATATTCATTTCTTCGGGTTGCTCTCAAATGCGAACAGACATGTCCAAGCACACAGATAAATATCAAAGTTTTAGTACCTACCTGACGATGAACTTCCGCTGCCTGGCGAACGGAATTGTATATTGGTTTTTCCAGGCGCTCCAACTCCCTCTTTTCCTCGGAAGTTGTCCTCCACAAGTTACTGAATTGAATCATCAACAACAGAAATTTATTTTAAGAACTCTCAATGATATTAAATTAAAAAAAAAAAAAAGAGCCCAATAATAAGAGAAAACAGGATTGCATACTGAAATCAGTTGAATTTAAACCATTCGAGAGAGAAAGGAAAAAGATCCGGTGCATTTGAAAACGTATGACAGCTACTTTCCTCAAATTGAGAATATAAAAGTGCACTAGTGTTGTCTAATTTTAATTCGCATGCAGCTAACTAATTGCAATCATGCACCTATTCCAAAACCATGCCTTAAACTGTAACAGATAAACCACGCGTTTTGATCCAAATCAGTTCGCACTTGTAAAAACAAAACTGCTTCATGCAAGAAATGCAAATGGTTCATTCATGGGGGTTCAAAAACAGCTAGCCATCCTCATTCTGTGTCTCTTTTTTCCAAGAATAACCTCAACTGACCCCATCAAAGCAAAAACTTCAGCATGCTTTGATCCTTCAGAGATATCAAAAGTTACTCCTCTTTCGATGCTAAGAAACACAAGTTTTAAAAGAAAATAGCCCCACCCATAAAACAGAAAGCAAAGACTACATCATTTTCATAACAGAAAACAAGTTCTTGGAGCTATTCATACACATACTGACATCATCCCCTCTAAAACAGATGCCCAGCCTCTTTGCTTATTGAAAGGAAAAAGAGTAACCAATATATCAAGTCCAATAAAAAGAATCCCTAGATCGGATTGGGAACATGCAAAAATTGACTTTAGCCACATCACAATGATTAGTAGAAAGTACAAAGCACACTACAATAACAAGTGGCAGAAATATCTCTCTCATATAAGGAAGGTTAATTAGTGGTCCAATAATACAGCCCACAAATTGCCGTGGCCTCTGTCGCTGCTCTAAACCTCCAGTCCACAAGATGCCAAACCCCATGGCATTAAATTCCTCATGGAAGGCTTATGTATAAACATGCACTTCTCTAGACAGAAGAGAAGGCAAAAATGTATGAGATGTTAAAATGGAAGATGGAAATGGAGAAATGCATATCCCATCAAGTTGCCACGGATGGTTTTGGGTAATCAGCAACCATAAGCATATGCAATCTCATAATTTAGTTGGTTACGCTAAATATTATTTGACAAGCTGACACGTCATCTTTGACATGTTAGATGTAAAAAT